TCGAGATACGCCTACTCATGCACCACGCCAGGTATGACGCAGCCAAGGAACTGAACAGGATCTACGATAACGCCCTGCCAGCATACCAGATGTACGTGCGGCGAGATACGCAAGGCCGGCTTCAGAACAGAGGAATTGCGACTCGCACCAGACGCCATTTCTGAGTCCCCATTGGAAATCGGCAGGCACACCAGGGAGACCGCCAGCTCATCCAAACAGTACGATGAATCCCGATGTAGCCCATTACATGATCACGACCCCCATCGCCAACCCACGCGCAGCCTGTCGCCGGTGTGGTGAAGCCGGACATACGGCATACGACTGCCAAAATCCTTCGATCCTATTCTGCTGGGAATGTGGCAAACGCGGCACACGGACCGTAAATTGCTGCCGCCAGAACACGTCGGGAAACGACATGCGTCCCCAACTGACACGCGATCAGCCGGGTACGACGCCTCCTCCAACCCGCGACTAAATAACTCTCTACACGAAACGACACGAAACGGACGCCACAATCGACACCGGTGCGTCCAGAAGCTTCATCAGCGCAAACCTCGCCCGACAACTAGACAACAACACCAACCTACAAGATGCATGCGTCCGCATACGCCTGGCCGACGGCTCGGTCAGAGACATCACCCAGATTCTACTGGCGCACATCAGACTGGATCAAAGAGAAGTTCAAATACCCCTCCTTGTCCTACCAAACATGTTGGATCAAGTTATCGTCGGCATGGACTTCCTATGCGCCATTGAAACAACGATCCAGTGCGGCTCCACGCTGCTACAGCTACGAGACTGTCACCCCATGCCCACTGAACCCGTGCTTACTACCATCCACGTACAAGACGACGAACCCCGATACCAGAAACCCCCACAAATCGCAACGAACCTACGTCCACGACCTACCACAACGCAAACGGCACACAATAACGCAACGCAGCACTTGACACCCAAACCAATCGCAACGAATACGAAACGCCGGCCCGCAACAGAGAACACGAATCCGAGGCCAACACAAGCCAACCACAACCAAGCAATCGGGAAAACGAGTCCCACGGTCACTACGGAGCAACCGCGTCCTAGGCCAACCACAGGGGACACATACCCCAAACAAACCACGAGGATCTCACACCGATCCTCGCCAACACAATGGAGTACCTTCCGCGTACCGACTTGACTGCTAGCGCCATGCACCGAGCCATGCCTAAAGCCAGGTCCGAGATCTTCGTCGCCCGTACCAGCTGTTGGTCCAAAACAAGAGGAATCACCGAGACTCACCTGTTCATGAGCCAAACGACCGCCAATACCACCCAAGTATTGCATCAGAGATATGAAACATATCTACCCACGGCCAACGCCACACCCATCGTCGCCCACATAAGCGACTACCAACGGAGGATCGAAACGCCCAGCGCCTTCGACACAACCCTCTCACCCGAAGACCCCAGCCAGCCATTTGACTCCGAAGCCGCCGATCCAACCGGACATGAGCCCGAACCAGTCCCGGAGCCGTGGCCGCCGGACTTGGCCCCGCAGATCCAAGCATTTACATTCGACAGACCCATCCTACCGAAAGACCCGAATCAAACCTTTGACCCCGGAGCCACCGAAGACGACCCAGAACTACCGACGGATCCTTGGCCACCCGACGTAGCACCGCCGATTCAAGAATGCCTGGACAAAGAACGACCGAAGAAAACAGCCGAGAAAACCATCGTCAGCACCCTCCAAGCGACGCCACTAATCTCTCCATCACCCACCCGGAAGAAAGGGGTGGGGGGGGGGTGCACATCCACGCTGGCGGGAGACAATAACCAAACTGATATACACAGAGCTAACGAGCAATGGCTCTAGCCACGGTTCTCCACCAATATTGTGTGTCAACACCCCGGAAATAAGAATAGTCTTAAGCAACGCACGCAATTACTAAAATTAAGAACTCTCGATCAGCGAAAACCACAGCACAAAATTCTCGGTCACCCACTTCTTGGCGATATTTCGCAACCACTCGGCCTCGAAACATCGACCCAAATTCAGATATCACCTTCGCGATGCTGAGGTAGCAAAAACCCAATTCCCAACTGCAGCCCGCACCTACTGCGATGCAGCCTCAGCTAAAAACACTCTCATCAAAACACACTGACCCACTAAGAAATTGTCAACGAAGCACCAAGCTTCGACCTAATTACCACACCCTACAATTATTATTATCTAATAATCAAAAGCTAGCAATAAGCAATTATTTCCGGGTCTCAGGTGCGATCGCCAGCTGCATAAAAGGGCCAAGATCGGCCGAAAGAGTAGGCAGTCCATCAGCCCGAACCCAAGATACTGCACTAGGCAGTCCATCAGCCCGAACACAAGACACAGGCAGTCCATCAGCCCGAACACAAGACACAGGCAGTCCATCAGCCCGAACACAAGACACTGTACTAGGCAGTCCATCAGCCCGAATACAAGATACAGACAGTCCATCAGCCCAAACACAAGACACTGCACAAGCAAAGACAATATAAGTATAAGATGCGTAACGCCATACAAAATTTCTGCACACGAATTTTCGGGGCTGGCTCTAGAGCTGGCTCCAGGCTCTCTTGAAATTTTTTAGAGAGAGAGAGCGCTCTAGAGCCAGCCGCTCTCTTGTATGCATACAGCATACGAAGGCACACGAAGTTCGTTCTTTGCCGATGCGATAGCCGAGCCGAGTCGTCGCGACGACTGTATGTGTGCACATGCATACGTTTTTTACAGCGCTGTCGAAATATACCCTTCACTTTATAAGTGTAAGTTAATTTTGCAAGACGCTTACCACCCCAATTTTAAAAAACTGTTATATTGTATATGTATATCCCTCCAACGATAATTTATTTTAAGATGGTACATTCGATAATGATGATCGGATATACATATATAAAAATACATAATATATTTAATACATGAAATTCCATGAATCACATTGGAATAATTGCCATTAGGGTATTCAGGATGCGACGTATTCAACGTCGGTATATAATTTCGTTTCTCAACTCATAAAAAGGTTTCCGTCTCGAAAATCGTCCGCTTAGCACAAGTACGCACACATACGCACTTGCTGTTCTGTGTGTACTTACACATGCAAGCGGATTCTATTTTTAGATTCGTACGCTCTCAAATTTGTGCGAGCGAGATGGCGCGAATTTCGTCGCTGGCCGAAAAATTGTCTTGCATATGGCAATTGAAATGTATGAGCGTTCCGCATCTTATACTTATATTGTCTTTGGCACAAGGCAGTCCCTCAGTCACACACCCAAGACACTGTACTACGCAGTCCCTCAGTCACACACCCAAGACACTGCACAAGGCAGTCCCTCAGTCACACACCCAAGACACTGCACTAGGCAGTCCCTCAGCCCAAACACAAGACACTGTAACGAACCGGTTTGGTCCGCCTTGTGTGCACTTGGCGTACTCAGCGGCCGGTGGGTTCGCTGCAACGAATTTGGGTGTTGCCCGGGGGACAAAGTAGAAAGACTTGGTTGGCTTCTTTAAACACGAGTTCTTTATTAGTATCTTAGGAAGTACGCTTATGGACGACAACTTAGTCTATTCTTTGGTTTAGCACTGGGATCACTGTCACGTTTGGACCTTCTCGCCCACTCGCCGTTCCTCGGGATCCCCAAGCGTGGCACTGTCGGCTCGGAGAACTGGTACGACAACGACTCTTAGCGCTAAGCCCAAGTCCGCCGTACTCAGTTCGCACACGACACGTTCGCTCTCACTGGATCCTTCCGTTGCGCGAGCGGTACACCAGGTCCTTTCTCTTGACGTTTTTTTGGGTAACTTTCGGTCTCTCCTCGATATTCGTTGTCACACGCACTTGCACTTTCCGCACTTGACTCTCTCGAGCCGCAGTCGCGCGCCTCCTTTTATTTCCTCCTTGGCGCACGACCGCCTCGTCGCTGCCTGGCAACAACGGGACTTCCCTCCAGTCGTCGGCGTTATTTTTCCATCGGCTCGTCCGATGCTCTCCACCTGCTTCGTAACGGGACCCAACCGGTGGCGTGATCGCATGGCCATAAATGGTCATGCGCTGGACCACTGCCGGCCCGATCCCGCTATCCCGCCTCTCTTCTGCCTTCCACTTGCTTCGCAACGGGACCCAGCTGGTGGCGTGATCGCATGTCCATAAAAGGTCATGCGCTGGACCACTGCCGGCCCGATCCCATTGTCCCGCCTCTCTTCCGCGCTCCTTCACTCTCCCTGGTAGCGCCCTCCGATCGCGGCTCTCTACGTTGCCCCTCCCTTGGGCGCGCCCCTCCCAGGCAATTCGCCGTTATCCGATTATCCGGCCACCCGGATAGATCTTAACCCCTTAGGGTCCATGCGTGTGAGGACATCATTCCTCACACTTCCCCTTTCTTCCCCAACGAAAAATTCCCTTCTGCGACCTCTCGTAAGCCCGGCCGTTAAAGTTTGAATTTCAACGGCCGCCCGCGCCTTTACACCGGGCGTGTTCTGGCGCCCTCTGCCGGCCCAGGCCCGTTCTGGCGCCCTCTGCTGGACCGGGCGCGTTCTGACGCGCCCCCTGCCGGGCTTACCTGATGGGGTGCTGCCGGATCGGTGAAATGCGCACGCGCGTGCGACTATCACATGGCTGCATCCAGGCCATCGATATGCCGTAGGGATGATTTCTGTCCCACTCGATATCACTCTCTTGGCCGCGTGCGTATTCCACTTCCGCAACGAGGAATTTGTTAATGGACGATGGTAAGTGCCTTACTCTTCTACATTGACCATCTCTCTCACTTCCCACTCTTTTAGACCCCGGCACGGATTGCTCGCCTTCACCAGCGCATTGACCACCGTGCGGCATCGGCCGCCCCATTCATCTCGGCCGTGTCTCGTCGGCCTCTGCCGCCGCTCTGCCAACGTCTCGCGGTGGCCTCCCCTCATTCCCCGTAAGTCCGCTTCCCGTTTGTGTTCTCCTTTTATTTTCTTTTTATTTTTAATCTCTGTTTTTACCAAGCCCCAGATTCTCGGTAGACCTCCTGGTGGTCCCGGGACACCGTTACCCGGTACCGGACCCCTCCGTCGTTCACCAGACGCTTGATGCGCCTCGAGGTGAAACGCGTTCGAGCCAGGACGCGCTCCACCGCCCCTGGCCACTCCTCCCGTCTCACGGGCCGCCAGCGTGGGCCCTCCGCCCCTCGCTGTGCCTGCGGCCACGACGCCTGGCGCTGCATGGGCGCCCGCGGTCTCTCCCGCTCCTCCGGACACGACACCTGCCGCTCCGGCCTTGGATTGGCGCGCCTGGCTTCCGGCGCGGGCCACTGCCACGGACCCCGCTCCCATGGCTCAGGTGAGCAAACTCCCGCCGTGCTCGCGGCTGGCTCCGCTGCCGCCTTCGCTGCCGTCGTCGCTGCGCTTGCCGTCGCTGGCTCCGCTGCCGCCATCGCCTCTGCCGCTGCGCTCGCCGTTGCTGGCTCCGCTGCCTCTGCCGCCGCCGACTCTGCCGCTGCGCCCGGCGCTGCTGGTTCCGCTGCCGTCGCGCTTGGCGTCGCTGGCTCCTCTGCCGCCGCCGACTCTGCCGCCGCCGTCGCCTCTGCTGGTTCCATCGTGGGCTCCGCTGCCGCCGCCGACTTTGCCGTCGCGTTTGGCGCTGCTGGTTCCGCTGCTGGCTCTGCTGCCGCCGTGGCCTCCTTCGGTTCCCCCGTGGGCTCCGCTGCCGCCGCCGACTTCGCCGCCGCGTTTTGCGTTGCTGGTTCCAGTGCTGGCTCCGCTGCCGCCGCCGACTTTGTCGCCGCGCCCGGCGTTGCTGGTTCCGCTGCTGGCTCTGCTGCCGCCGTGGCCTCCTTCGGTTCCCCCGTGGGCTCCGCTGCCGTCGCCGACTTCGCCGCCGCGTTTTGCGTTGCTGGTTCCCCTGCTGGATCCGCTGCCGCCGCCGACTTTGCCGCCGCGCCCGGCGTTGCTGGTTCCACAGTGGGCTCCGCTGCGGCCGCCGACTCTGTCGTCGCGCTCGCCGCTGCCGGTTCCGCTGTTGGCTCCGCTGCCGCCGACCGCCCCCTTGGGTCGCGGCCATTGCTCCGTCGGGCTGGCGTCTCCTCCAACACCCGCGCTTCTTCCGGAGCCTCCGGCTCCCTAGGTGCCGGCCCCGATGCCCAGGTGATGTGGAGGATTTGGTGGTGCCACACCATTCCTCCCCGCACCGCCGTCCGCACCTCCTGCGTTACGTACGGCCCGATCACCGCGCCTTGTGGTCCCTGCCACTGGTGTTGCTGCTGCTGCCACGAGGCGTCCGCTCCCGGCCGCTGTTGCTGGGACGAGGCTTGGGGCCCCCGTCCTCCTTCGGGCAACCCCGCCTCCTCCTCGGTCCGTGGTCGTCGCTGCCACAGCTCCTCCTCCTCCTCCGGCTCGGCCTGGCCACGGTCTTCGGGCTCCGGCGTTGTAGGGGAAGGCTGCCACAGGCCCTCCTCCTCCTCTTCCGCCCCGACGTAGTCGCTCCTGCCACTTCTTCTTCTGCCGTGGCCGGGCCTCGGCTCTCGGGTCCCGGCGTCGGAGGGGACGACTGCCACCGACCCTCCTCCTCCTCTGTGCACCGCCTTGCCTCTTCCTCGCGGCTCTTTTCTTCTGCCCTCCGCCGCTCGCTCTCTTGCAATTCGGCCGCCACCTTTTTCAGCACACACTTCCGGTGGTGCTCCTCCGCCTCCTGCCGGGCCTTTTCCTTGGCCTCCTCGGCCGCCTGCTCCGCTTCCTGCGTGGCCTTCAGCCTCTTCGCCAGCGCCCGCGCGTCCTCCCAGACCCGCCGCTGTCGCAGCGCCTCCTTTGCTGCTTCCAGCGCGATCCGCCGCCGCCACTCCGCGACCCGCTTCTCCTCGGCCTCCCGCTCCTCGGCGTCTGCCGGTGGCCGCCCCACCGTCGGTCGCCCCTCCGCTTCTGCTGAGGGCCGCTTCGCCTCGGCTTCTCGCTCTTCGGCGTCTGTCGGTGGTCGCCTCACAGTCGATCGCTCCTCCGCCTCTGCTGAGGGCCGCTTCGCTGCACGCTTCGCCTCGGCTTCTCGCTCTTCGGCGCCTGTCGGTGGCCGCCTCACCGTCGATCGCTCCTCCGCCTCTGCTGAGAGCCGCTTCGCTGGACGCTTCGCTGGCCGCCTCGCCACTGGTCGCGCCTTCTTGGGGGCGGGCTCCCAGCTTGTCACTACCACGTCGCTGTCGGCTTCGCTGGCCCCAGAAGACACCAGCGGCGACACTGTGGCTCCCACTGACCCTTCCGATGGGATCAGTGGGGACGCAAGGAGCTGCAGCTCCTGAGGGCTGAGGGGTTGCAGCCAAGCTGGCGCCGAAGTATGCGGGTCCGTACACGATAACGGATTTCGTGTCACCCGTCATCTGCCGACTGAAGGGCCCCAAGGATAATCGGATGAGGACAGCCCATATTAGCGATCTGAAACCGCAACCGAGGGAGGAGGGGACATAAGGCATATAAAAAAAAAAAAAAAGGTCTACACGAAGGCGAAAAGGGAGGAGCCAAGGCCGCGGCGAATAGCAGGATCGGACGTGAAGATATCTGGAAGAAATGAAGGTTAACATCAGAAGGGAAAAAAAAAAAAGGCAAAGGTCAATGATACCCGACAGGTGTGGAATCGCGGATACGGACGGTGAGGTGCGTCGGAGTACACGGTGATTCCAGATGGGGATCCGAGGAGGGGCCAAGATCCGGATCCACTCCAGGACACCAGGGGCAGTTTTCGAGCGTCGGGAACGATCAGATCGGATGCCGCCCGTACGCAGTCTGCCGGGCGGGGAATCGGATGATCCTCGGGTCCGAGCTGCTGTACGGGGGGACGTCCGGAGGGCGATCGATCCGAAGACGGAAGAAGCTGACCGGGTGGCGGGCCGTCATTCGGCAACCCGGGCGAAAGGCCGGAGGGCCTGTTGTTCGCGGGTGGGAATGATGGTCAGCATCCTGGGGTGAGTCTGGGGTCGGGCTGGAAAGAGAAGAAAATCAGATGTGGGATCCCAGGAAGCTGGATAATTACCGTGTACAAAAGCGAATCCACTCGGTGTAGCGATCGAACCTCGCTATGGCCGGAAAAAAAAAGGAAAAAAAAAAAACCCTAAAACAAGGACGGGAGTCACGCGGCTCTTTTTGCACCCGTGAAAAGGAAAAAAAAAAAAAAGGAGAGGTGGACTTATCAGAGACAAGTGTGCCTAACGACCCCGAGTCGGCTGTGTAGGGTTAACGCGGCGAAGAGGTCGGATAAACGGTACTTGGCCGTCTCTCATTGGTGAAGAAAGAGAGACTCAGAATAATGAGAGAGAGCGAAGTGAGAGGCTCAGGCAAAGCCCCGTTAGGCGGAACGATGAACACGGGCCCCAGGAATATAAAAAGGGGAGCGCGTCCGTCACTCGGCTCTTTTTGGTACACGTGTCAAAGGAAAAAAAAAGGTTAAGATGAGGCAGCACATGGCAAGATACTTGGCGGAGCAACGGAGCTTGATGCGACGGGGATATTATGCCTCGTTGTCCCGGAGCCAGCGACGAGCGGATCGGCTCTCGCAGGATGGCGAAGGACAACGGAGGTAGGCGTCCCCTGAGCTGCAGCTCCTTGCGTCCCCACTGATCCCATCGGAAGGGTCAGTGGGAGCCACAGTGTCGCCGCTGGTGTCTTCTGGGGCCAGCGAAGCCGACAGCGACGTGGTAGTGACAAGCTGGGAGCCCGCCCCCAAGAAGGCGCGACCAGTGGCGAGGCGGCCAGCGAAGCGTCCAGCGAAGCGGCCCTCAGCAGAGGCGGAGGAGCGATCGACGGTGAGGCGGCCACCGACAGGCGCCGAAGAGCGAGAAGCCGAGGCGAAGCGTCCAGCGAAGCGGCCCTCAGCAGAGGCGGAGGAGCGATCGACGGTGAGGCGACCACCGACAGACGCCGAAGAGCGAGAAGCCGAGGCGAAGCGGCCAGCGAAGCGGCCCTCAGCAGAAGCGGAGGGGCGACCGACGGTGGGGCGGCCACCGGCAGACTCCGAGGAGCGGGAGGCCGAGGAGAAGCGGGTCGCGGAGTGGCGGCGGCGGATCGCGCTGGAAGCAGCAAAGGAGGCGCTGCGACAGCGGCGGGTCTGGGAGGACGCGCGGGCGCTGGCGAAGAGGCTGAAGGCCACGCAGGAGGCGGAGCAGGCGGCCGAGGAGGCCAAGGAAAAGGCCCGGCAGGAGGCGGAGGAGCACCACCGGAAGTGTGTGCTGAAAAAGGTGGCGGCCGAATTGCAAGAGAGCGAGCGGCGGAGGGCAGAAGAAAAGAGCCGCGAGGAAGAGGCAAGGCGGTGCACAGAGGAGGAGGAGGGTCGGTGGCAGTCGTCCCCTCCGACGCCGGGACCCGAGAGCCGAGGCCCGGCCACGGCAGAAGAAGAGTGGCAGGAGCGACTACGTCGGGCGGAAGAGGAGGAGGAGGGCCTGTGGCAGCCTTCCCCTACAACGCCGGAGCCCGAAGACCGTGGCCAGGCCGAGCCGGAGGAGGAGGAGGAGCTGTGGCAGCGACGACCACGGACCGAGGAGGAGGCGGGGTTGCCCGAAGGAGGACGGGGGCCCCAAGCCTCGTCCCAGCAACAGCGGCCGGGAGCGGACGCCTCGTGGCAGCAGCAGCAACACCAGTGGCAGGGACCACAAGGCGCGGTGATCGGGCCGTACGTAACGCAGGAGGTGCGGACGGCGGTGCGGGGAGGAATGGTGTGGCACCACCAAATCCTCCACATCACCTGGGCATCGGGGCCGGCACCTAGGGAGCCGGAGGCTCCGGAAGAAGCGCGGGTGTGGGAGGAGACGCCAGCCCGACGGAGCAATGGCCGCGACCCAAGGGGGCGGTCGGCGGCAGCGGAGCCAACAGCGGAACCGGCAGCGGCGAGCGCGACGACAGAGTCGGCGGCCGCAGCGGAGCCCACTGTGGAACCAGCAACGCCGGGCGCGGCGGCAAAGTCGGCGGCGGCAGCGGATCCAGCAGAGGAACCAGCAACGCAAAACGCGGCGGCGAAGTCGGCGGCGGCAGCGGAGCCCACGGGGGAACCGAAGGAGGCCACGGCGGCAGCAGAGCCAGCAGCGGAACCAGCAACGCCGGGCGCGGCGACAAAGTCAGCGGCGGCAGCGGAGCCAGCACTGGAACCAGCAACGCAAAACGCGGCGGCGAAGTCGGCGGCGGCAGCGGAGCCCACGGGGAACCGAAGGAGGCCACGGCGGCAGCAGAGCCAGCAGCGGAACCAGCAGCGCCAAACGCGACGGCAAAGTCGGCGGCGGCAGCGGAGCCCACGATGGAACCAGCAGAGGCGACGGCGGCGGCAGAGTCGGCGGCGGCAGAGGAGCCAGCGACGCCAAGCGCGACGGCAGCGGAACCAGCAGCGCCGGGCGCAGCGGCAGAGTCGGCGGCGGCAGAGGCAGCGGAGCCAGCAACGGCGAGCGCAGCGGCAGAGGCGATGGCGGCAGCGGAGCCAGCGACGGCAAGCGCAGCGACGACGGCAGCGAAGGCGGCAGCGGAGCCAGCCGCGAGCACGGCGGGAGTTTGCTCACCTGAGCCATGGGAGCGGGGTCCGTGGCAGTGGCCCGCGCCGGAAGCCAGGCGCGCCAATCCAAGGCCGGAGCGGCAGGTGTCGTGTCCGGAGGAGCGGGAGAGACCGCGGGCGCCCATGCAGCGCCAGGCGTCGTGGCCGCAGGCAAGCGAGGGGCGGAGGGCCCACGCTGGCGGCCCGTGAGACGGGAGGAGTGGCCAGGGGCGGTGGAGCGCGTCCTGGCTCGAACGCGTTTCACCTCGAGGCGCATCAAGCGTCTGGTGAACGACGGAGGGGTCCGGTACCGGGTAACGGTGTCCCGGGACCACCAGGAGGTCTACCGAGAATCTGGGGCTTGGTAAAAACAGAGATTAAAAATAAAAAGAAAATAAAAGGAGAACACAAACGGGAAGCGGACTTACGGGGAATGAGGGGAGGCCACCGCGAGACGTTGGCAGAGCGGCGGCAGAGGCCGACGAGACACGGCCGAGATGAATGGGGCGGCCGATGCCGCACGGTGGTCAATGCGCTGGTGAAGGCGAGCAATCCGTGCCGGGGTCTAAAAGAGTGGGAAGTGAGAGAGATGGTCAATGTAGAAGAGTAAGGCACTTACCATCGTCCATTAACAAATTCCTCGTTGCGGAAGTGGAATACGCACGCGGCCAAGAGAGTGATATCGAGTGGGACAGAAATCATCCCTACGGCATATCGATGGCCTGGATGCAGCCATGTGATAGTCGCACGCGCGTGCGCATTTCACCGATCCGGCAGCACCCCATCAGGTAAGCCCGGCAGGGGGCGCGTCAGAACGCGCCCGGTCCAGCAGAGGGCGCCAGAACGGGCCTGGGCCGGCAGAGGGCGCCAGAACACGCCCGGTGTAAAGGCGCGGGCGGCCGTTGAAATTCAAACTTTAACGGCCGGGCTTACGAGAGGTCGCAGAAGGGAATTTTTCGTTGGGGAAGAAAGGGGGAAGTGTGAGGAATGATGTCCTCACACGCATGGACCCTAAGGGGTTAAGATCTATCCGGGTGGCCGGATAACCGGATAACGGCGAATTGCCTGGGAGGGGCTCGCCCAAGGGAGGGGCAACGTAGAGAGCCGCGATCGGAGGGCGCTACCAGGGAGAGTGAAGGAGCGCGGAAGAGAGGCGGGACAATGGGATCGGGCCGGCAGTGGTCCAGCGCATGACCTTTTATGGACATGCGATCACGCCACCAGCTGGGTCCCGTTGCGAAGCAAGTGGAAGGCAGAAGAGAGGCGGGATAGTGGGATCGGGCCGGCAGTGGTCCAGCGCATGACCATTTATGGCCATGCGATCACGCCACCGGTTGGGTCCCGTTACGAAGCAGGTGGAGAGCATCGGACGAGCCGATGGAAAATAACGCCGACGACTGGAGGGAAGTCCCGTTGTTGCCAGGCAGCGACGAGGCGGTCGTGCGCCAAGGAGGAAATAAAAGGAGGCGCGCGACTGCGGCTCGAGAGAGTCAAGTGCGGAAAGTGCAAGTGCGTGTGACAACGAATATCGAGGAGAGACCGAAAGTTACCCAAAAAAACGTCAAGAGAAAGGACCTGGTGTACCGCTCGCGCAACGGAAGGATCCAGTGAGAGCGAACGTGTCGTGTGCGAACTGAGTACGGCGGACTTGGGCTTAGCGCTAAGAGTCGTTGTCGTACCAGTTCTTAGAGCCGACAGTGCCACGCTTGGGGATCCCGAGGAACGGCGAGTGGGCGAGAAGGTCCAAACGTGACAGTGATCCCAGTGCTAAACCAAAGAATAGACTAAGTTGTCGTCCATAAGCGTACTTCCTAAGATACTAATAAAGAACTCGTGTGTAAAGAAGCCAACCAAGTCTTTCTACTTTGTCCCCCGGGCAACACCCAAATTCGTTGCAGCGAACCCACCGGCCGCTGAGTACGCCAAGTGCACACAACGCAGTCCACCAGCGCACCATACAACTACAAGCCAGAGTAGCAACGTAAAGGAATTAAGTGAATGAATAAATACTGAATAATCCAAGAACCACAAAAACTCCCGCATCATAATTTTTCGCTTGCCTACTGCATTTTTCAAGCCAGCCCGACACCTGAAGTCACCTACAATCTACAAATTTTCATGTAGCGGACCCTGGACAGACTGATGCTTACCTCAGCCTGAAATAGGACCTCACAAGCTTATTCTAAATTAAAATCTGCTCCGGGAAATGAAAACTCGTACGGACTGATACAAGAAGTACCAACTCGTTGGAATATCTGCTTCAAGATGATAAGCAGACTTTTAAAAATTAGGGACTCTGTATCTCAGGTTATTCTTGACACAAATAAAGCACCAACACCATTGACAGCGGATGAGATTGCAGTGTTAAAAGACTATTGTTTGAGCCATTTGATTCAGCTACAAATCGGGTTTCAGCAAGCAGTAAAGAAACAATTTCTCTGGTTATTCCAATATCTGCCGATCTTCATCATCGTCTAAGTGTCATGGAACTTTCAATGAAAACTTCGCAAGGTATTGCAGCTTGTCACCATCTGCTGGATGGGATTAACCGCCGGCTGTTTGTCTACGAAACCAGAACCGTTCCTAAGATTGCAACGATATTGGATCCACGTGTCAAAAAAGAAGGTTTCCGCAGCCATAGTACAGCAGACCTAGCCGTTGAGATGCTTCAAACTGAAATCGCTGGAAACTGCAAAAATATGACTTCTACACCGGACCCGAAAGAGCCAACACTTGATTCCCAACAGCAGCCAGCACTCTTTTCTTTTATGAAGGAAAAGATTGCCAGCAAAATTAAGACACCAAAATCAGACGACATAATAGTGCTTCGCCAATATTTGGAAAAACCCCACGCTGTTCCAGAGATTAGTCCCCTTGAATATTGGAAGGTTTGTCTTACGGTTTTTTTTATTTTATTTGAATAATCTAAGGAAATAATAATAATTTAATTTATATTTTATATTAATTTTAGAACAACGCAACTGAAATGGAACAATTAAAAGACTGTGCCTTAGAATATTTTTGCATTCCAGCATGTTCAACGGAGTCTGAGAGGATGTTCAGCCGAGCTGGAATACTCATATCAGATAGACGAGCCTCTTTAAAGGCTAACAACGTAAACAAATTGTTATTTGCGGGCAGGAATCAGTGGGTTCTGGAGAAATAAAAGAAAACAATGGATTTTAAAAAAAAATGTGCCGGGCCGAAGCGTTCCAAGGAGGGGTTGAAGGCGAAGGCCCAGTACAAAGCGGCCCTCAAAATCATGGTCCTGCTCCAGGGCCTCTCTGAAGAGGAGAAGGCCGAAATGACCTGGGCCGAGCAACGGATAAAAGAGGGATGGCTGCACTTCGCGCAGATGCCGCAGATGAAGGCATCGACGGAGGGATTTGCCAACAATGTGGAGGAGAGTCTCGCCACCAAAAGGCAACGCTCGACCGAGAGTGCCATCAAGGACACTCCGGTGAGCAAGCGGTGGCAGGCTCAACACCCAAACAGGCGAAGAAACCCCAAAAAGCGAAGGTCAGTGAGGTGACCAAACGACTCTTAGTCGTGGCACTCATTGACCGGAGCGACGAGAACGGCAAAATAACGGCGGCGCGGTGGAAGACGGTGCACGCGCGGCTCGTGGATGCGCTGTTCGCTCGAATGGAGGAGGACCCAACGGCCCCCATGCCCACGTTCGATGGTGCAGGGTGGCTGAACGGGGTCAAAATACTAAAATGTATTGACGACCCCACACGCAGGTGGCTGACGCAAACGGTCTGCCAACTGAAAGCGTTGTGGGAGGGGGTCAAGCTGGAGGTGGTGGACAGGGAGCTAATCCCGTCCATACCAAATGCAAAGGTACTTGTCGTTACACCATAGAATAATAGTCAACGAGAAGGAACGTGTGAGTAGCTTCTGGGGACGCGACTCTACTTATACCCGTACTCAGTCAGTATATACATTGTTGAGCTTATTACATTTACATTTTTTTGCTACATCTGCTATCTACATATACATATACAATGTATATTCTACATCTAACATGTAGATTATAGATGTACCATTCATATTCTACATCTCCTCCGCTAGGGGTTTCTCGCGCACTGAACGCGGCAGAGTGTGCGAGCGAGAAGGATAATGAGTTGCGTTGTCGTTTGTCGGAGGGGGCGGGGGGAAACAACTGAAAATTAATTTCTTCATTCTGGCTATAATTATGATCCGATCTGATTCAGATTCGGCAGTCTGGTGATATGGGCATTCTCTACGATAATGCGTTTTTAGTTTTATCGTATCCTTAAAAATGTGCCTGCCACAGATTTTCGTCCTTTGTGTGGGCGAAAGGGGGCGGGGCGAAATTTTGAAATATACTTGTAGCAGTGGGATATCACATGAGTCTGGAAACAAAATTTGGTTGCCCTAGCTCTTATAGTCTCTGAGATCTAGGCGCTCAACAAGACGGACAGACGGACAGACGGACAGACAGACAGACAGACAGATAGACAGACAGACGGACAGACAGACATGGCTATATCGACTCGGCTATTGATGCTGATCAAGAATATATATACTTTATGGGGTCGGAAACGTTTCCTTCTCTGCGTTACACACATCCACTTTTACCACAAATCTAATATACCCCTTAACTCTTTTTTGAGTACGGGTATAATAAGTAGAAAGCAATGAAGTTATGTATGAAATGTAATGTAGTTCGTAAGGTTACGGCATGAAGTCCCGCCACTGTAAATCGAAGCAACATGTAACTACACGCCCGCAGTATAGCCGACAAGCGATGCGTGGGAATAAAGCACTCGTAAATTGAACTTCGTTTCGCACGGTTTATTTTTTGATCGCCCTTTATCGCCGCCCACAGCTCTGGTCTGTACTGCTAATTCCCGCGTCTCAAGCCTAAGTAAAGGCATCAAACAAACAAACAAAAATAGTTTCGAATTTTCTACATGGCGCCCGAGCAGGGACCTTGGGATTAGTTTCGTTTTTAAATTAATCGTTGTTCGACCAGAACGCTGTTCGCGAGTTAAAGCCGCGAAAA